TGAGATAACAGCATAGGCAAGGAGCACAGGAAGTTATCTTCTGGAGGGATCAACAGGTCATTTTTTACGCGTATCCAACCGATATAACAGAACACTTTCAGTGATATATAACGGAGGAAATAAGAGCAGGTCGTTGCTAAACTGACACTAAAACTCAGGAGTTAAAGTGACATTAAACCCTCAGATTTTTTAACATAAAACAATACTGTAATGTGCGCCTTACTGTAATCCATGGTAGTTTACCTTCTCTTTGCTGCTCTTCCTTTTTAAATCCTCATGTCTTCTCATGCTTGGGGAGAACTTCCCTTTTCAGCTCAGGGCCTCTTCCTGTAGTGCTGGCTCAGGTTTCAAGCCTATAGAAACGTATACACAGACACCGTGTATCCATTCCTGAGACAAGGCAGTCTGCTGCAAAACAGAAGTTCTGCAGAGCATGAGAACAGATACAGATTTAAAAGGAAGAGCAGCAAAGAGAAGGGAAACAACCATGGATTACAGTAAGGCGCACATTACAGTATTGGTTTATGTGAAAAAATCTGAGGGTTTAATGTCACTTTAAAGCTTAAAAATGCATTCAGGGACCTTCACTATTAACAACAATGTCTCTTATTTGTGTATCACTCGGCTGTAGATCCTCCAATCATCTCTGAATTGGTGCCGACACTGTCCTTCCTTCTGGAGGGAGGCTACTTTTGGCGGCGAATCAGCTTTTGAATTACTTTCACATGTTAAAGCCTCTATGAGATTTTATCCATTTTGTTTTGATCCACCTTTGAATGCGGGTCTTTATTAATGGGAATATTCATTATCAGGGGGATAGCTCATAGCTCTCTGTACTCAAATCTGTTGTCTTTGGGATTCTCTGCAGGTGTTGGGCACTCAGTAATTGATCAGATTACATGACTGCGTTGTACAATTACACTCATCTCTGCTTTCTTTCAGGGATGGTGATAGGAGTGAGGAGTGAAGCCTCTTAATTTCGAGTGTCATTTCATTCTGTTCATTGTCTGTCCAGATGTTACACAGAGCCGAGTCCAGCACATTACTGGGATGTTTCACGAGCACGCGGCTGATCTTATAGATTACATATGTCATGGTTTTTATAAAATAATCTGGAGCGTCCTGATAACCAGGTACCGAGCAGCTGAAATGAATCACTGCGAATACTCTTCAGGAGATTTCACAAGCGTTCTCAAGTCAAAAAAATCCTCTCAATCCACTTTTTGATCTGAGCTTTATTTAGTCCCTGACATCCCAGGTCAGCATTTTTATCACAGTGCTTCTAGGCAAGGCTGCTGACTCTTTTTGGTGGATTGTGCTCAGCAACATCTGTGTCTCTTCCATTCATTGAAGGAAGCTGGATCTTCAGATCTTGTACGATGGGTTGTATTGCCAGCTGCTGGAGTAGGATATTGGGCACAAAGGAAAGACAATCTCAGAGACGGGCACTGCTGGTGTCCAAACCACTGTCTGTGACAACTAACCCCTGTTGGAGTTCTTGTGTTTTTATGTTTGGGCCTACCCTATGGTTAACACTACTTTGGGACATTCCATCGGTCAATATCTAAAAGTCCAACCGTGTCCTTCAATGACCAGAAGAGAAAATAGGATTTTTGTACTTTACCATAAAAATCCTTTGGGAATTCCCTTGGTCCGGATCCAAAGGTCCAGCTGCGGCCTTTCAGTGATCAGAAGATAAAGTAGGGTTTTTGTACTCACCGTAAAGATATTTTGGGTCTTCCCTTTGGTCAAGATCCAGAGGTCCATCTGTGTCCTTCAATGACCAGAACAGAAAGTAGTTATTTTGTACTCCCCAACAAAATCTTTTGGGGCTTCCCATCGGTTAAGATCTAAAGGCCCAGCTGTGTCCTTCAATGCCCAGAAGAGAAAAATTGGAATTTTGTACTCTTTCCAATTGTTCTGGTTGACCATTGTCACTGGGACTGAATGTTGCCTCTAGAACAGGAATAGAGGCATAGAAGGAGATGCTTCTAATGGAGATACTGGTCCTGGGGACAACTAAGAGGGGATTTCCCCTTAAGTGATTTGTACTACTTCCTGTTTAGTTTACAGGACAGGAAGTCAACAGAAATCTCCCCAAAAATACATGGGGTTTAAAAAAAATGCTTTAGGTCTACTCTAGTCTTGGGATTTCAATGGTTGGCCTTACTAAAGGGGTAGGCAACCTCAGCACTGTGGTGAGACTACAAATCCCAACATGCTTCTGCCTCTAGGAGGCAGAAAGGCATTGAGGCATTGCAAGACTGACAGCTCCCATGACAGCCTGTGGCTGGTTAGTCTTGCAATGCCTCATGGGACTTGTAGTTTCTCCAGCGACTGGAGTGCCAAGGTTGCCTATCTTTGCCTACATAGTTCAAAATTCTCAGTTGAATCCCCTTTATATCCAGTGAGATGTTTTAGATCATTGTAATTATAAAGGTTGATCATGCCAGGACACTTTTTATTTCCCCTACCACCGACAACCATCTTTTTAAATGTCCCATGGTACCGTAATTCTTAGCACGTCTGTATTTTACTTTTCATGCCCTGGTCACCCCTTTGCTAGAAATCGCTCTTTATTAAGAATGTTCCCCCAATGTTCCTCAATTATCAAACTTTAATGTTAAAGACAATTTACTTGAAACATAATCTGTTTCTTTGCCGCAATAGTATTATCCTTCATACGCATCTTGATAACTTAATTTCAATCGAAATAAAACTCCAATGTCTGTATTGTTCTTTTACAGTTATTATCTCTTCAGCCCATTCATATTGTATTCTTGTGTCCATGTGTTTGCCAACATATTTTGCCTCCTCGGGGATGCGTTAGCGTGTTAAACCTTTCAGTTCAAGAGTTTATGTCAAACTTGTGCCAAAAAATTCCTTCTCAGTCAAATTATCCTTTAATGAAAGTTGATGAGGTCCAGGAGATTCACTTTATGGAGAAATCCGAGCGTATTTGATACTAAGCGAGCGTTGTCAGTTGTCAGCGTCTTGTATATCTAAAAGTCATTCTTAATATGACATTCACGTTTTCCATACCCTACCACCTAATGTTGAGTAGGTCTCCCTTTTCCTGACCTGTCCAGGCATGGACTCCACTCTAGACCTCTGAAGGTATGCTGTGGTATCTGGCACGAAGCCATCAGTAGCAGAGCCTTCATAGATGGTACTTGGTTTTCCAGAACATCCCACAAATGCTCAATTGGATTGAAATCTGGACAATTTGGTGGCCATGTCCACACCTCAAACTCGTTGTGTTCCTCAAACCATTCTTGCTCGGGCACCCTGACTGTCTGACTGGTCTGCGGCTACACAGCCCCACAAACTGCACTTTGTGTTCAGACACCTTTCTGTCAGAATCAACATGAACTATTTCAGCAATTAGAGCTGCTCCAGTAGTTCTTCTGTTGAATCGGACTACACGGCCAGTGTTTGCTCCTCACGTGCATCAATGAGCCCTGGCCATCCATGACCCTGTCGCCGGTCAACTGGTTTTCCTTCTTTGGACCACTTCTGGTAGGTCCTGACCACTGCAGACCGGGAACATCCCACAAGAGCTGCAGTTTTGGAGTTGCTCTGACCTAGTCATCTAGACATCGCAATTTGGCCCTTGATAAGGTTTCACAAATCCTTACTTTGTATTAAAACAATAATCCAAATTGTCTACAATACACAGTGCTTTAGGAAACCCAGTGACATTCAGTTCCAGTTTATATCTTCTTTACAAAGAATGCCCAGTATGGATACTCGGCAAGATCAGTTTCTGAACTCCCTCAGCAAATTGTTCCTTCCTCTTGACCTGACTTACTGGCCATAAATGTGTCAGCCCTTTTGTGCCATGGCACCTTAATAGCCAAAGAGTAAATATATATTCTGCAATTATATTTATAACTGCTCATAACACAAACACTTTCTAATCGTGGCTCCACCCACCGCTGCCACCCCGCCGTCAGTGTAACTCCAGATAGTATAAAACACGCGTCAGAGATCCTGCAACTGAAAGTACTTTGAGAGAGTAAACAGATGCAATAGATATGAAAGATAAATACATTTTTATTTGCATTCTCTAAAGGGCCCATAACACCCGATGTCTTATCTCACTGCTCGGTCGGGGTTTAGAGGTCCAGTTGCCGCCCCCCAGCCTGACTGTCCCTAACCCACCCCTTTCATTCATTGGTTTTCAGTTCTTCCAATCATAAAGGCTCAGCAACACATGTGGGGATTACCTAAGCCCCTATTCTCTCTGCGTTTTGTGGCAAATATGAAGCTCAGTGTAGCTCTTCCAATGCATTTCAATGGAGATGTTCACATCTTGCAGCTCAATGTCACTTGTAGCTTGTAGCTGAAGCTTGTTGCTCCAACATGAGCTATTTGTTCAGACAAAGAGTTCCGAAGGAAGGCTCCTTGGGAGTTGTGACACAGGAAGTGCATATTCACAGGGCTGAGGGAAACTGTGTTGGTGCATTGAGGAGGTACATCCTATGGGCATTCTTCAAATAATTTGTTGATGCAAGTGGCCTCTTACTAGAACTTCAAGGACAGTCCATGTGCTTGTGTGTATGAGGCCTACAAGTTGCAAACGTGAACTGGTTTTGCATCCACTCACAGTTGCACAGTGACCCCCTCCAGTGGCCCCCTGCGACGCTCAGCTGAAGAAGCGCCCGGCTATACATAGCAGATAGTGTAAAAATAGACAGGAGGTAAAGACGGAGATGGGTGTCGAGGACCGACTTCCCCCCACAAACACTTCACCTCCTAACCACTGATTGGGTCTCACATGTTTATCTGACACTCTAATGTGACAACAGGAAGGACAGATTGATGTGTTTTGTTGCAAAAGGATGTTTTTCAATATTCTTCATCCGATTTGTGTCCATAAAAACACGGGGGAGTCTCTATCTCCTGTTTATTCCACATTCCGGATGTGTATGGATGGCTCTGGGAGTAAAATACCTGCTAAGGAACTTTGTTAATGCAAAATCTGTGCTGTAGAGGAGGTTGGGTAGGTGTGGGAGATACTCCTTTACAGAATGTTTTCCCAATGAAAAAGCTTATAATGTATGTAGCATTGGTAAGTGTCTACCCTTACTATGAGGGTCTGTGCTAATGAGTAATTGTAGTGCCTCCCACTCTAAAGCCTTGTACAGGCTCATGCGTTAATGGTGCCATTGTAGGGCAGGCACATGGGTCTAAAGTATGTGCTTATCTCTTCCACAATGCTATCAAATGTTTCTAAACAACATCTACCTCCCTCAACCGTCCCCTACAAATGATGCCAGGTCTAGCATGCAGCATACCTCTATCATGTCTTGCATAGTGAATGCACCTAGCTTGGCGCAAATGCTCAACTACAGCTGGCACCTGAGGTGGTATAGCTTCCAATGGTGTCATCCTTACAGGTTCTCTTTAAGCCTATTGTTAATATACACTTCTGTAGCTTCAGATAATAGTTTAGGGTCAAACTCTGGGCAGTTTATGCTGTAGGTATGGCCAGTTTTTTTAGACCAACTGAATCAACCCAAAAAATAGACATTCATGCATGCTCCCATGGATTATAGGAAGGGGTTGGTTGATGCCAGGCTTCTTTCAACCTGGAAGTACAAGAACAGGAAGTGCTCACACACAGAACTCTGACACGTTCAGCATCATCCTGTGCAGTAGGAGGTGGTGTGTGAGCACAGCTTTATACACTGTGAGTCCAGGTTGCTGGTGACACTTAGGCCCAGAGATGTGTCCACGACAGCCTCAAATGATGGGGTTGGATGACTCTGTGCTTTGTTGAACCCGGAAGTGAGGCAGTGACCACTGTGCTAGGAGGACACGGAGAGCATTCCTGGCGCATGAGGAAAATAACTAGGGAAGTGAGCCAACACATATCGTCGCTCGCTCACTTCTCGATTGTGTCCCTGCAGAGAGCCGTGACTCTTACTCACGGCTCCCTGCAGGGATTTCCCCCTCCCCGCACCGATCCTCCACTGCTGACTGGCGGAACGGCTGGGGAGGGGGCGGGAACAGCTGTAAATAGATAGGCAGAGCCAGCTGTCAATAACACAGCTGGGTGGATCTCGACAGCAATGTCGGGATCCGTCCCGGCTGCGGCGGTCTCAGTATATACTGAGCTTAGGGTGACGGGAGGACGCTAGTTTGTGTCCTCCCGTTACCCTTAGGAGAAATATGGGGAAAAGCCTTAACCCCATAGTTCTCCTTTAATTACCCAAGCTGGAGAATAAATGATAGCCAGGCAGCGTCACTTCTTCAAGGAGAGATAAGCAACGGCATGCTTTGTATTGTCCTCAGTACAGGTTTTCCTTGGACTGTTCCCACTCGATGTCTCATAATGATTTTACCCACTCCCCCGGAATTATTGGAAGAGTATAAAAAAACAAACAGCAGGTGGGCGGAGTCGGGAACCCAGGTGCTGAAATGCTACCAGTGGAGTCATCAAGAACTATAAGGAAGTAGTAGATTAGGCCTCCTGGGTTGATACATCGGTTTCGGATGTGGTGACCTTTGAAGCTCGCAGTCTGTTGTGTGTTCCGGTCAGATTGGATACACAGGGGGGATGTTTTGCCATGTAATATAAAACATAATATCTGCGTCTTCTTCTTTTTGCTGCGTGGGATAATGTCACATTCTTCTCCACTCTCTCTCTCTCTCTTGCCGCAATATTTGTTTTCATATAATCTGTAGCGGAAAGCCAGGTTTAAATATGCATTTGTTACAATCCATATGCTGAATCACGCCGTCTCAAGCTGCGACATAATCACATTAACGTCTCGGCGGTTCTATATGACTCGGATAAAACGTTCTGTTTACTTTTCCATTGTGCCGGAATTGTTTATTCCTTTTTTCGACGGTTCGGATTTTAAAACAAAATGAATCGGCGGAAAGGCTCGCGTCTGTTTTTAGATTCTGCTTACTCGTGAAATTCCTCGACAATCAGAAACAGAGCGCGTGATGGCGATAGCTGCTTGTATGGAGCGTGTTGTCTAACCGCGGGTTGTAAAGCATGCTCAGCCAGCAAACTACAAGTCCCAGCAACACCCTTTCTTTCTGTTCTAGATGCACTCCAGCGGACCTTTTTTTTTACACTTTATGACGTCATATAAATCAGTAGGACATGTGCTGATCACCTATCCCATCCCAATAATATGTTGAATGCAGAAATACCTCTTTCTTCCGATAAGTTTAAAAAAAAAATGTATATATAATTGCTACATGTGCCATAAAATGTTTCTTTAAAAAAAAAAAAAAAGCCGGGATAAAAGAAAAGGTCGGTGTTACTTTTCATCTTCATTTTGATTTGAATAAAGTCAGTCTACACCGCTCTGTCTGTAATCTGATCATACTAGAACACTTTTGCTGCTGATGCCGGGGCACCTGTGCTGCTGATGCCGGGGCACCTGTGCTGCTGATGCCGGGGCACCTGTGCTGCTGATGCCGGGGCACCTGTGCTGCTGATGCCGGGGCCCCTGTGCTGCTGATGCCGGGGCACCTGTGCTGCTGATGCCGGGGCACCTGTGCTGCTGATGCCGGGGCACCTGTGCTGCTGATGCCGGGGCACCTGTGCTGCTGATGCCGGGGCACCTGTGCTGCTGATGCCGGGGCACCTGTGCTGCTGATGCCGGGGCACCTGTGCTGCTGATGCCGGGGCACCTGTGCTGCTGATGCCGGGGCACCTGTGCTGCTGATGCCGGGGCACCTGTGCTGCTGATGCCGGGGCACCTGTGCTGCTGATGCCGGGGCACCTGTGCTGCTGATGCCGGGGCACCTGTGCTGCTGATGCCGGGGCACCTGTGCTGCTGATGCCGGGGCACCTGTGCTGCTGATGCCGGGGCACCTGTGCTGCTGATGCCGGGGCACCTGTGCTGCTGATGCCGGGGCACCTGTGCTGCTGATGCCGGGGCACCTGTGCTGCTGATGCCGGGGCACCTGTGCTGCTGATGCCGGGGCACCTGTGCTGCTGATGCCGGGGCACCTGTGCTGCTGATGCCGGGGCACCTGTGCTGCTGATGCCGGGGCACCTGTGCTGCTGATGCCGGGGCACCTGTGCTGCTGATGCCGGGGCACCTGTGCTGCTGATGCCGGGGCACCTGTGCTGCTGATGCCGGGGCACCTGTGCTGCTGATGCCGGGGCACCTGTGCTGCTGATGCCGGGGCACCTGTGCTGCTGATGCCGGGGCACCTGTGCTGCTGATGCCGGGGCACCTGTGCTGCTGATGCCGGGGCACCTGTGCTGCTGATGCCGGGGCACCTGTGCTGCTGATGCCGGGGCACCTGTGCTGCTGATGCCGGGGCACCTGTGCTGCTGATGCCGGGGCACCTGTGCTGCTGATGCCGGGGCACCTGTGCTGCTGATGCCGGGGCACCTGTGCTGCTGATGCCGGGGCACCTGTGCTGCTGATGCCGGGGCACCTGTGCTGCTGATGCCGGGGCACCTGTGCTGCTGATGCCGGGGCACCTGTGCTGCTGATGCCGGGGCACCTGTGCTGCTGATGCCGGGGCACCTGTGCTGCTGATGCCGGGGCACCTGTGCTGCTGATGCCGGGGCACCTGTGCTGCTGATGCCGGGGCACCTGTGCTGCTGATGCCGGGGCACCTGTGCTGCTGATGCCGGGGCACCTGTGCTGCTGATGCCGGGGCACCTGTGCTGCTGATGCCGGGGCACCTGTGCTGCTGATGCCGGGGCACCTGTGCTGCTGATGCCGGGGCACCTGTGCTGCTGATGCCGGGGCACCTGTGCTGCTGATGCCGGGGCACCTGTGCTGCTGATGCCGGGGCACCTGTGCTGCTGATGCCGGGGCACCTGTGCTGCTGATGCCGGGGCACCTGTGCTGCTGATGCCGGGGCACCTGTGCTGCTGATGCCGGGGCACCTGTGCTGCTGATGCCGGGGCACCTGTGCTGCTGATGCCGGGGCACCTGTGCTGCTGATGCCGGGGCACCTGTGCTGCTGATGCCGGGGCACCTGTGCTGCTGATGCCGGGGCACCTGTGCTGCTGATGCCGGGGCACCTGTGCTGCTGATGCCGGGGCACCTGTGCTGCTGATGCCGGGGCACCTGTGCTGCTGATGCCGGGGCACCTGTGCTGCTGATGCCGGGGCACCTGTGCTGCTGATGCCGGGGCACCTGTGCTGCTGATGCCGGGGCACCTGTGCTGCTGATGCCGGGGCACCTGTGCTGCTGATGCCGGGGCACCTGTGCTGCTGATGCCGGGGCACCTGTGCTGCTGATGCCGGGGCACCTGTGCTGCTGATGCCGGGGCACCTGTGCTGCTGATGCCGGGGCACCTGTGCTGCTGATGCCGGGGCACCTGTGCTGCTGATGCCGGGGCACCTGTGCTGCTGATGCCGGGGCACCTGTGCTGCTGATGCCGGGGCACCTGTGCTGCTGATGCCGGGGCACCTGTGCTGCTGATGCCGGGGCACCTGTGCTGCTGATGCCGGGGCACCTGTGCTGCTGATGCCGGGGCACCTGTGCTGCTGATGCCGGGGCACCTGTGCTGCTGATGCCGGGGCACCTGTGCTGCTGATGCCGGGGCACCTGTGCTGCTGATGCCGGGGCACCTGTGCTGCTGATGCCGGGGCACCTGTGCTGCTGATGCCGGGGCACCTGTGCTGCTGATGCCGGGGCACCTGTGCTGCTGATGCCGGGGCACCTGTGCTGCTGATGCCGGGGCACCTGTGCTGCTGATGCCGGGGCACCTGTGCTGCTGATGCCGGGGCACCTGTGCTGCTGATGCCGGGGCACCTGTGCTGCTGATGCCGGGGCACCTGTGCTGCTGATGCCGGGGCACCTGTGCTGCTGATGCCGGGGCACCTGTGCTGCTGATGCCGGGGCACCTGTGCTGCTGATGCCGGGGCACCTGTGCTGCTGATGCCGGGGCACCTGTGCTGCTGATGCCGGGGCACCTGTGCTGCTGATGCCGGGGCACCTGTGCTGCTGATGCCGGGGCACCTGTGCTGCTGATGCCGGGGCACCTGTGCTGCTGATGCCGGGGCACCTGTGCTGCTGATGCCGGGGCACCTGTGCTGCTGATGCCGGGGCACCTGTGCTGCTGATGCCGGGGCACCTGTGCTGCTGATGCCGGGGCACCTGTGCTGCTGATGCCGGGGCACCTGTGCTGCTGATGCCGGGGCACCTGTGCTGCTGATGCCGGGGCACCTGTGCTGCTGATGCCGGGGCACCTGTGCTGCTGATGCCGGGGCACCTGTGCTGCTGATGCCGGGGCACCTGTGCTGCTGATGCCGGGGCACCTGTGCTGCTGATGCCGGGGCACCTGTGCTGCTGATGCCGGGGCACCTGTGCTGCTGATGCCGGGGCACCTGTGCTGCTGATGCCGGGGCACCTGTGCTGCTGATGCCGGGGCACCTGTGCTGCTGATGCCGGGGCACCTGTGCTGCTGATGCCGGGGCACCTGTGCTGCTGATGCCGGGGCACCTGTGCTGCTGATGCCGGGGCACCTGTGCTGCTGATGCCGGGGCACCTGTGCTGCTGATGCCGGGGCACCTGTGCTGCTGATGCCGGGGCACCTGTGCTGCTGATGCCGGGGCACCTGTGCTGCTGATGCCGGGGCACCTGTGCTGCTGATGCCGGGGCACCTGTGCTGCTGATGCCGGGGCACCTGTGCTGCTGATGCCGGGGCACCTGTGCTGCTGATGCCGGGGCACCTGTGCTGCTGATGCCGGGGCACCTGTGCTGCTGATGCCGGGGCACCTGTGCTGCTGATGCCGGGGCACCTGTGCTGCTGATGCCGGGGCACCTGTGCTGCTGATGCCGGGGCACCTGTGCTGCTGATGCCGGGGCACCTGTGCTGCTGATGCCGGGGCACCTGTGCTGCTGATGCCGGGGCACCTGTGCTGCTGATGCCGGGGCACCTGTGCTGCTGATGCCGGGGCACCTGTGCTGCTGGTGCCGGGGCACCTGTGCTGCTGGTGCCGGGGCACCTGTGCTGCTGGTGCCGGGGCACCCTCCATGTTGCCTCTCGCATACAGAGAGCCTGAAATAAAAAATGACCAATGACCAGTAGGATTATGGTAAACTCAGATTAAGGTAAAGCAAGTGAACTTTCTGACTTTAGCACGGACAGACATGTGCTGGAAAGCTTTATTAGCTCCCTGAACGCTTTTACTTATTTCTTGGAATTGCTCTTTATGAATTGTAATGTTTTCAATTCCCGCTGGCACCTTGCGCAAGAAATTTTAAGAATCCGCGCCAGAAAATTCTGACAACCACACGGGGGCCTTCTAGATGCCTCCATCGGGGTAGCCTGCCCGTCGGTTGTGTCGAGGAGCCCCTCCCAGCCGCTGACCCCGGATTGCCCGGCCCTGATGCAGATTTTCCAGTCGCTCTTCCAACACATTCCTTTATCTAGTTATTGTTTGCAGATTGGATTGATATATCTTTGGAATTTGCATTCTTTTCTGAAAACTCTCATGCTGGTTGTTTTTTTCAGGAATCCAAAACGTTCTGAAACTCTTCTGTGCGGTGCTGACCGAAAACAAAGTCCTCTTCCATTCCTCCAGTTTCCAGCGTCTCAGCGATGCTTCCCGGGCGCTAGAAGCGCTCATGTACCCTCTGAAGTACAGGTATGAAAATCAACACGTACCGCGTCCTGCCTTGTTTATAAAGGGTCACAAGGAATCCTAAATATATATTTACACAGATCTAATCTCAATAGCCAATGCTCTCCCGAGGAGCTTACACTCTGTCCATAACACTCATATACACAGTAGGGGCCAGTGTTGGGTGGAGGATAGGGATGCACCGATACTAGTATCAGTATTGGTGCCGATAGCGAGTATTTGGGTGAGTACTCGTACTCGCCCAAATGCTCCGATACCTCCCCCGATACTGGAACTTCCTCTGACCGGCAGTGCCGTAGGCGAACATGGAGGCAGCTTATCGTGCGACCAGGAAGCTGGGCAGCGAGTAATGACCCGCCTACCAGCTTCCTAATTGGCTGTGAAGCCGGCTTCACGGCCAGTCAGCATGGATCCGGCTTAACAGCTGTCTCCGTGCTGATTGGCCCGGGAACCTCGATTCCCGGCCGGGCAGCCGGCTATTTGCTGATTGGCCGGGCGACCGGCTTTCCAGCCAATCAGGAAGCTGGGAGGCAGGTCATAACTTGGCACACAACTTCCTGATTGGCCGGGAAGCCGGCTCGATGCTGATTGACTGGGAAGGCAGTTTCCCGGCCAAGCACCATCAAGACTGCCGGACAGCATGAAGCCAGCTGGTCGGGCAATCAGATTGCCCGGGAAGCCAGCTCCATGCCTACTGAAGCACTGGTATCGGTACTCGGTATCGACGAGTACCGAAAGCAAAATATCGGTACTCCCTAGTGGAGGACTATGAGCATATTTTTGAGATGTGGATGGAAACCACACGCAGAAGTGTGAAGAACTCTGCACCATAGCCAAGCCAGTCTGTTTCATGATCAGCTTCCTGTGCTTGACGTGTCAGTCATAATGATGTAATGGTCAGGGGGCGGGCACAGACACATGTTTTCCCAGCGACCTCGAAGCCTATTGCCAACCTAAAAAAAAACAGAAAAATCAAGTATAAAAAACCCCATGTAAACGTGTGCAAACGCACTGGAAAGCCTATTGGGAGCCAAAGAAAAAACATGACCGCGCTTACAGAAACACATCCAGATCTGGTCTGGAGATGGTGTGAACAAGCCCTTAAGGGGAATATTATGGAGCAGGGGTAGCCAGATTTCGGCCCTCAAGCTGTGGTGAAACTACAGATCCCATAAGGCATTGCAGGCCTCTGACAACCACAGGCATGACTTATAGAGGCAGATGCATATTGGAATATGTAGTTTCACCACAGCTGGAGGTGCAAAGTTTGCCTACCCCTTTATAGATTTTCACTTGAGGGAGAGCTCTGAGTCTGGAGTCTGAGTCAGGGCTGTTGACATCACATACAAGATGGCGGCACCCAGAAGCAGTCTCAGGACTTTTAGATGTCTGCATAAGGGAAGATTTTATGGAAAAATAACAATTAGAAAATGTCAAATTCATATATATATTATGGGTAGATTTTTGCTACAATATGTATGATTGGGATTGTCAGTACTTCTTTGTGAACTGATGGGCTAAAGTTTGCTTCAGCAAACCAAATGGCTTCTCTCTGTGCATGCAGGTGATGTTCATCTCATATGGACGCCAGTACCTACTAGCTCTTTCCATGTGCCCCCATCACCTTTGTCCTAACCTCCTTCTTTGTCTTACAGCTATCCCTACATTCCAATCCTTCCAGCGCAGCTTCTCGAGGTCCTCAGCTCCCCCACACCGTTCATTATAGGGGTCCATTCTATCTTCTGCTCCGAGATCCATGACCTGGTAAGCGGGTGAAGCCGGCAGTTTCAGGCATTTTGTTGTTGTCTTGTACTATTGCACGGTTAGTTGTTGGATCTGATTTATCGCCATCCTTGTGTTTCACATGTACAAATCCCAACAACATGTGAAGTAGCAGCGGGTTATGATGGGGAGTTATGAATTCCATATGTTTCACAAGTATTTAAGAACTGGTTTTATCCAGAACTTCGCCAGGAGTCCCGTCTCATCATCTGCGGGCGAGCTGCTAGGGAGACAGGTGCCGACTGCTGAATTTATGGCTCCTCACCGTGTCCCCATTCTACCGTGGTGTTAACTCTTTGCATGCTAATCACATTTGTAGCACACTTGGCTGATGTCCCCACCTATACTTTAGGAAGCTCTTTAGCTTAAAGGATAAGATCGCGTTAGCAAACAGGCTAACCGGAGCTGTCCCTCTGGCCTTAGCAATAAAATGTAATAAGACTTTATAGCTTGGATCAGGGGTAGGCAACCTTGGTGCTCCAGCTGTTGTGGAGGTACATGTCCCCTGAGACATTGCAAGAGTCATTGCAGTGGCATCTGGAGTGCCTCTACTTCATTAATCCTGGACAGGTCCTCTGCCCTCCTCTCACCAATAATTGTGCCTTGGTGGCCTATAAGCAGGGATCGGCACAGTCATGTCTGGGAGATGTAGCTATGCACTCAATAGGAAACCATATTATCAAGATCAGCCTCAATAGACTTTGTGTCTGTATTTGAGTCACAATGCCCCTTTGCATCAAGTGACTTCACTAACCCCATATCCAGCTTTTTAGTTCGGAGTTCCTCTGAAAGATTTCTCCTCGGTATGCAGCAAAAGCTCAAAAGAAGGCCCGCCGTGGCTTTTTCTATTGCCTCCCTGGTTGATTAATGCATACTGATTGCATGTTACATGGATGAGCTGTATTGGTATGAGTAGTAGCAGCGGGGCAGAGAGAAATGCAATGATTTCCATATGTCTTATAAACTAGTTAGATCCAGTGCTTCACCAGGAGCCCTGTCATCTGCTGGGGAGCTGCTTCGAAGACAGGTGCCAAAAATGGGAATTTATTGTCCATTATCGCTGCCGGCGGGGGATCGGAACTTAAGAATACCAAGCAGTTTGAAACCGCTACTTTATTTGTGCTGGTATAAGTTTTATACAGTCCTGATGCAGGCACTTAATGAAGTCCTAGAGAGAAATCTGTGCATTGCTATGTCTGTTCAGGAAACATTCATTCTGTTTACCTTAATCTGAGATTTAAAGGACCCAAAAGCAAACCATGTCTGAGTTGCACTGTACAAGAATCCAAAGCGTTCTTTGATTGGACAAGGAGCGTGTGAATATCACAATCTCCCCATGTCCAATCACAGAATGCCTTGTATTCTTTTTAAAGAATGCAAGATGTTTTATAAATGGATGGAGCTGCAAAGTGAGTGACCCGCTGTGATCGATGTGCTCCAGCCCTTGAAACTTCAGCAATGACATCACCGTCAGAGGCTGCCTGTAACTAATTATTCAAGAAAGAAGCAGCCACTTGTGGGGCGCACATCATTAGTACCTTATTGGTACCTGGCTCATGCCCCAATCATAGCCCACACTTTAGCTGTAAGGCTGCGGAGGTCACCCTGAACCCAATGCCCCAATAAAGTCTTAGCCCACACTTCAGCTGTAAGGCTGGGGAGGTCACCCTGAACCCAATGCCCCAATGAAGTCTTAGCCCACACTTCAGCTGTAGGCTGGGGAGGTCACCCTGAACCCAATGCCCCAATAAAGTCTTAGCCCACACTTCAGCTGTAAGACCGGGGAGGTCACCCTGAACGTGAGAGTAGAATTACACCATAGGTCCCAAATGTTATGGAATAGAGGACAGTTACTTTTCCCATATATAATCTTCTTATACAGAATAATCTGGTTAACCAATGGCGTCCACTGGGCTACAGTAGGGACTCCATTTACTAGCTATGACTTTGCAAGCCCTAAACAAAGTTTCTCTCAAGATTATTCTAGTATAGTATGATCGCTATTCTTCATCCGGTATAGCAAATTTTCCCCAGTGATTTTAATGACCAATCTCACGTTTCTGTCCTCTGGCAGAAGTTCCATTCCTCTTTAATGAATTTGTCAGTTCTGCTTGCAGAGACATCTCCATTAGAAGGAGAGGAGACAGACTTAGCAGAGTCCAGAAATGTTTCCAGATGTTTTAATGCATTTCATTGCATATGACATTAATGTTTATATCTCTTTTTAATATGAAGCAAATTGCTTTTGTATGGGAAAAACATACACGCATCTGAGACTTTTTATGCAAGGAAGTATCAACATGGCTTCCATGTCGCATCTTCTTTCAGGTGAGGTTGGCTGGGTCAGCAGGCTTGGACAAGCCGTATATTTAGCTTCCTCTGTCCTGGAGGTTCCTGGCTGCCATATTGTCTGATTTTCGGCTGGTCTTGCTGAGCCATTTTATTAAAGAAGCAAAAAATGCAGTTGCCCAATGGGTCAGGAAGTCAGGACCAGGCTAAGAGTCCATTCTCCTGGCAACCACCAAACCCAGTCATGTCCATCGGATTGCCAGACAGAGAAGCGTGATTCGTCACTCCAGAGAACACGTCTCCACTTCTCTAGAGTCCAGTGGCGGCGTGCTTTACACCACGGCATCCCACGCTTTGCATTGCACTTGGTGATGTAAGGCTTGGATGCAGCTGCTCGGCCATGGAAACCCATTCCATGAAGCTCTCTACGCACTGTTGTTGTGCCAATCTGAAGGCCACACGAAGTTTGGAGGTCTGTAGCTATTGGCTCTGCAGACAATTGGTGACTTCTGCGCACTGTGCGCTTCAGCATGCGCTGACCCCGCTCTGTCATTTTTTACGTGGCCTACCACTTCCTGGCTGAGTTGCTGTTGTTCCCAGTTGCTTCCACTTTGTTATAATACCACTAACAGGGGTCCCAATACTTTTGGCAATATAGTGTAGTTTAGCAGTTGGTGCTCTTTATGTATTGCAACATCTTATTTTCATTGAGTGAAGTTGGAGCAATGCTTGGATAAAACTTTGAGGATTTTGGTGGGTAGGTGGTGCCTTCTATGTGTGTTTCAGGACTCCATTGGCAGCTTTGTTGACCTGTGCTGTAAAAGAAGCCTGGCAGGAAAGACTTTGATCATCACAAGCTGTCATCTTTCTTTCTTGTAGCTCGACGTGATCATAGCAGACCTGGATGGAGGTACAATCAAAATTCCGGAATGTATCCACCTCTCCTTGCTGCCAGAACCCCTCTTCCAGCAGATACAGACTTCCCTTTCCCTTGTAAGTTTTCCTTGAGAGAGAGAAAACTTTCCACATTTTTATTTTCTACTCTATGGCCCCTGACGGCTCCTCTTGTTCCCAGGTTTTGCATCCGGATCTAGAAGTTGCAGATTATGCCTTCCCTCCTCTACGCACAACTTTGTCTCATGTAAAAATGCTGGTAAGTGAGCTACTGGATCCACAAAACTGGAGCAGATAGAATCTGGAGCAGCTGCACATAGTAACCAATCAGATTCTACCTTTTAGTTAAGTTTTGAAAAATGACAGACAGACGCTGATTGGTTGCCATGCACAGCTGCTCTAGTTTTTGTCTGCTCCAGCACACAGTGTGTCAGGATAGTAGTGTTCCCATCATGTTGGCCAACATAGGGAATGGCAAAAGTGGGAAAACACATTTGGAGAGATATTAAAAGGCGCAAACTCCCCTAGCAGTGCAGAGTATTTCAGGAAAGCAGAGTAAGAGGAAGGAGCAGAGTCCTCCAGCAGAGCAGAGTTATAGAGGAAGGAGCAGAGTCCTCCAGCAGAGCAGATTATTTCAAGAGAGGAGAGTTATAGAGGAAGGAGCAGAGTCCTCCAGGAGAGGAGAGTTCTAGAGGAAGGAGCAGAGTCCTCCAGGAGAGCAGAGTTATAGAGGAAGGAGCAGAGTCCTCCAGCAGAGCAGATTATTTCAAGAGAGGAGGGAGAGATATTAAAAGGCAGAGACCTCCAGAGGAGCAGAGTATTTCAAGAGAGGAGAGTTCTAGAGGAAGGAGCAGAGTCCTCCAGGAGAGCAGAGTTATAGAGGAAGGAGCAGAGTCCTCCAGCAGAGCAGATTATTTCAAGAGAGGAGAGTTCTAGATGAAGGAGCAGAGTCCTCCAGCAGAGCAGATTATTTCAAGAGAGGAGAGTTCTAGAGGAAGGAGCAGAGTCCTCCAGGAGAGCAGAGTTATAGAGGAAGGAGCAGAGTCCTCCAGCAGAGCAGATTATTCCAAGAGAGCAGAGTTCTAGAGGAAGGAGCAGAGTCCTCCAGGAAAGCGGAGTTATAGAGGAAGGAGCAGAGTCCTCCAGGAAAGCGGAGTTATAGAGGAAGGAGCAGAGTCCTCCAGGAAAGCGGAGTTATAGAGGAAGGAGCAGAGTCCTCCAGGAAAGCGGATTATTTCAAGAAAGGAGAGGAGAGATAGAGGGAGGAGCAGAGTAATTAAGCATTGCAGAGAACTTCAGGAGAGTTGAGTACAAGGAAGGAGCCGAGTCCTCCAGCAGCGCAGAGTATTTCAGAAGGAAAGAGCAAGTGAAACGACCGTTAATAATGTACCTCTCCCGTCTGTGTTCCCTCAGGATAAAGAAGTGCGCGCCATCTTCCTGCGATTATTTGCTCAGATATTTCAGGGATATCGCTCCTGCCTTCAGCTCATCAGGATACACGCAGAGCCGGTCATCCACTTCCACAAGGTAACACGTGATGGCAGTTGTCTGTTTCACATTTGCAAAGAAGCTTTCTGTATTGTCCACCATTTTGATATGGGGGGGATGTTACTTTCCAAAATGTGCAGAAATGTTCTTTTGTCACACATATCGGGAACGCTGCTGTGTGCACGCTGCATTCCAGATGGCTGCTGCGTTTCAGCTGAGGTTTTCACAGCAAGGTTTCTTCTGGGAGGCGCTGTCCATCAAGAAAGCAGGGCTGGGTGGGGGGAGCATGGCAGCTAATCTGACCATGGGACATAACAGGCAGCGTGGGGCTGAAGGAAAGAGGTCTTAACCTTGCAGCACCGAGGGTCCCCGGTTTGAATTTCCCCAACGATCAGAGATGTCTCTCCTCCGATCACTGGACCCGGAAGTGATGTGTATTCACTTCTGGTGTCACTATATACCGTATTTTGCGTTCCATAAGACGCACCGGACCATAGGACGCAGGGAGGGCCAGTGCACCTTATGGAGCACTCGGCAGACCGTAGCTTCTGTCACAGCTTCTGTGACAGAAGCTGCAGTTAGTGACCACTGAGACAGGTGGCGCTGTGATTACAGCGCCACGGTCTCAGTGATCACACAGAGCAGACGAAGAACGTCCGTTCTATGGTGATCTCGATCACCGCTGCCGTCGCCGCTGCTCGGTTTTAATACAAGTGATCTAATCATATCACTTGTATTAAACAAGCAGTGGCTCCTACGGTACATTTAGCTCTGCTTTAGCAGGGCTAAATGTACAAAACAACTACTCGCCCGGCGACCGAAACTGCATGTCTCGGGCGTTAGGATTCGCTCCATAAGACGCAGGCACATTTCCCCCCCCTCCTTTTGGGGGGAAAAAAGTGCGTCTTATGGAACGAAAAATACGGTACATTCTCCTAGAGCCAGGAGAGTGGGAGCAGATCTGTGCTTCCTCAGCTTCTTTGGTCTGATAGACCACACTCACCCTATCTGCTATTACCTAGGGGACTTATTGGCCCCCCTATGTGATAGCAATAAGGTTAGTGTAAAAACAGTGTTTAAAAATTGTGGAAAATTAACGTAACATATAAGAAAAATGCAAAAAAATAAAATGAAAGTCCCTCGCCCCCCACGTGCACGCACATACACACGCAAACATGCGTCGGTGCACCTATGTGCGAAAACGATAATTGCGCTACACATGTTACATATTGCCACGGATGTCGGAGTGAGTGCAATAATTCTAGGGCCATCAATCACTGTTAGCACTAAACTGATGAGCGGTAAAATAGTTTAAAGTGTTCCCTATGGGAAATTTGGGGTATTGAAGTTTTTTGCAGCTTCACGGGCGAACGCAATTTTAAGGCTCAACATGTTTGGTATCTATTTACCCGGCGTGACCCCGTCTTTCATATTTTACCAAAAATGTGGGTATTATATTCTGTTTCTGTGCACTAAATTTAATTTAGTTTTATTTATTAATTTATTTTATTTATTTAAATTATCATTAATATTACATTTTAATTTATTTTATCCTAAAAATACCAGTTTGATAAACATGTGCAAATACCGTGCGACATCAAAAATTGCAACTAGCATTTTTTTTATTCTACAGAGCCTCTGCTTTCAGAAAATGTATTATTGTTTGGGGGTTTGACGCTGTTTTGTAGCCAAAAATTGATATTTTATCATCTGTGTGCGCAAATAGTAAGAAAATGCTCTGGACAGCAAGTGGTTAATGTTTGTAGGATGATATGATTGGTCACTTAAAGTGATATCCGCCATTATCTTGGCGATATCGCTGCATTGTGTCTCAAACATTGCTGACATCCAGGAAGCCCTCGCACCATTGTCTAAATGGATGAGTAATGAGGTTAAAATGCATAATATTATCTGTCTCCGCAGGCTGCGTTCCTGGGTCAGCGCGGCTTGATAGAGAACGACTTCCTGACTAAAATCCTGAATGGGATGGCATTTGCCGGCTTTGTGTCTGACCGCGGTCCTCCATACCGAGCCTGCGATCTCTTCGATGAGGTACGGAGATATGAAACTCCTTCTATTATTGAGGCAACAAGGACATTTCATGGGGGATGCTGATCACTAACACATGAATAAAAGCGTTCCAAGTTTTATTTATTTTTTCATATAAAAGGGGGTTTTATGATATGTACAAATTTGCGAGGTTTATACCATAAAACTGTCCATTACAACACCAAATATTGTGAAGTATACATGACAACAAATCTTTAATACGCTGATATTCCTCCAACGCGTTTCTTGGAACAAGGTCCACTTTATCAAAGATGAACATGCAGTTCAAATGTTAAAGGTCATCTTGCGTCATGGATCGGATTGTAGTTTCCAAGGCTTATCTCTTTAAAGGATATTTAAACCCTCCCGTGTTTTTTGCATATATCTACTGCTAACAAGCAGTAGATATATGCAAAAAGTTTTTTTGGTTTTTTTTTAAACGCTCAAACAGCAGTTTAGACTCACCTGTGTTCCGTGCGTGGTCCCGTGCCGAAAATGAGAAATTTCTCAAGCGGCCGCAAAGGATCTTGGGGCGCGCGCATGCGCAGTTCTCATTTTCGGCCGGGACGCGACGAGGGATGCAAGGTAAGTCTATGGATGCGTGCACCCGCATGCAGACACCGCTGGATCGGAGGGACAGAGCAGTGAGCGCTGGATTGGAGAGAGCCGCCGCACCGCTGGAGAGAAGGCTGAAAACATCAGGAAAGAAGAGGAAGATCGGAAATAGAGACATCATTTAAGGTATGTGCTAACATTAACATAGGGGGGAGGGAAATTTTTTTTGCCTTTAATTTCACTTTAATTATTTGTGTAGAATGTCACAAAATCACCCTTCAGGAGGCAGCAGGACTGATGAACCGCCATGTCCAGCGCACACAGGTATAGAGAGATCCCCAGAATGCAGTTATGCCACATGGGGATCGTTCTGCCTGGTGTCAACCACTGACTGCAATGGGAGATCAGGGTCAGCGGCTGGCACCAGGCAGTAAGAGACATGCCACGTCTGGTGTGCCAGAAAAGTGCTGTACACTCCAGTGCCTTCCTGGCATCTGCAAGATGGAGGGCCAGTGCACACCTAGGCGATTTATTGCGCAAAAGACAGATTCGCATTGAAGTCAATGGAGGCTGCTCACACATTTGAGGTTTGTCACGCGACCGAAATCGCCTGTCGCGCAAAAAGGTGCAGGAGCTATTTTCGGGCGGATGTCGCGCGGTTTGGGTCCCATAGACATCTCTACGCATTGAAAAACGTGCGACAATCATATGGTTTACAATGAACAGTCGCGCGTGCGAAAACAGCTCCGCATCTGAATCTCCTAGGTGTGAACGGAGCCGAGTGCCCGGGATGATGTAACTACTGTGCGCATGCGCAGTAGGTATTTCATCAGAAGGTGCCCTATGGCTGAAGAGGATGACGGGAGACCCAGAAGTAGCAGCAAAGCAGATGGCAGTGACAGGGTACCGTGCTGCAACTGATTGGTCAGTGCTGGTGGAGGGCACACTTGTACAGTGTGCTATGATATGCCAAAAGCTCACCCACTTTACATCCACTTTAAATAATGTTTGGAGTTTGCTCCCCAACCACATGTCACCCCTACACTATGTAGAATACATTGAGGGGTGTGACACCATCCTTTAGCTTTGTAGTGACTCTGACATTTCGTAGGGATGAGGTATCTAGTATTGGACTCGCCTTCCCAGCAGCCATTAAATGTCAGCTTATTAGCGGAGCTGACCTTTCCTTGTACACTGGGAAAATCCAACTAATCTGACGTTTCATCATCTTCTAGAGCACATGAACCCGAATTGGAAGGTGGGAATAGTTGTTCATCCTGAAACAGAAGAATCACTTTTATGTTGCATAAGACGCTGCCATTGTTTATTCTGGACTTTGGGGAAAACCGCGCTGGGTTTCAGATGTTGTTTTTGGGTCTTCATCTACCGTTCCTTAATAAAACTCTTTTCCATCAGACCCTTTTATGTGTAATTGTTACTAATTGGTTTCAGACTCCGGCTCATATAGAGCAGACTTCACAGTCGCTCGTGAGAGCCGAAGAGGGGAGCATTGCTATTTCCTGAGCCTTCTTTATTTACCGGAGTGTATTAACACAACTGTGGAACGCTGTGCCTGGAGCGAGCGATGTCTTCGGTTTGATGCTGCGCTATGTTTATAGACTGTAATAGGCACGCAGAAAGCAGTAAATAAATAGATCTGAGCCCTGCGACCATTTGGGTCTAGTTGTTTCAGTTCTCTGTTATCACTTTGTAGAGCTAAATAAAGCTCTTTGAAAAAAAGAGCTTGCAAAACAGAATCCATTAAAGGGACATTGCCATTAATTCACAAAGCTGAGTTATGTCACATGGCTTTGTTGTTTTTTCTCTTAATATTTTTACATCAGGTGTTCTATTGAAAGCATCTATCATGAATCCATATTTTAACTCTCGAGTTATTCTATCACTGTCTCAAATGGCTCCTTTCCTTGCCCCTTTCCTTGAAACCAGAATCAGAGAGAGAGAGACAGAGCTATAACAGCTTCAACTCTTCTGGGAAGGCGTCCACAAGGTTTAGGAGTGTGTTTGTGGGAATGTTGGACCATTTGTGAGGTCAGGTACTGATGTTGGAGGAGAAGGCCGGGCTCGCAGTGTCCGCTCCAATTCCTCCCAAAGGTGTTCTGTGGGGTTGAGGTCAGGACTCTGTGCAGGCCAGTCACGTTCCTCCACCCCAAACTCCCCCATCCATGTCTTTATGGACCTTGCTTTGTGAACTGGTGCGCAGTTATGTCGGGACAGGAAGGGGCCGTCCCCAAACTCCTCCCACGAAGTTGGGAGCATGAAATTGTCCAAAATGTCTTGGTATGCTGATGCCTTAAGAATTTTGCAGACAGTTGGCGACTTCTGCGCACTGTGCGCTTCAGCATGCGCTGACCCCGCTCTGTCATTTTACGTGGCCTACCACTTCGTGGCTGAGTTGCTGTTGTTCCCAGTTGCTTCCACTTTGTTATAATGCAACCAACAGGTGACCGTGGAATAGCAAGGAATTTCTCGAAACACCTGAATCCAATGATTTGAAGGGGTGTCCCAATACTTTTGGTAATAAAGTGTAGGTATCTGTGGTGGTCTAGGTGACCGCGCAGATGGCGCCGTGGAAATACTAACAGTAGATAAAGAGATATCACCGGCACACACTCGGAAATTCAAATATCAATAATCCATTGATATGTTTTGAGGAAAATGTCACATCATGTCATACGGTGCCAACGTTTCGGTTCCTCACAGGGATCCTTCATTATAGGGTCACTGTGTCGCTCTGATGAAGGATACCTGTGAGGACCCGAAACGTTGGCACCGTATGACATGATGTGACATTTTTCACAAAATAAAACATATCAATGGATTATTAATATTTGAATTTCCGCGTGTGTGCCGGTGATATCTCTTTAACTACTATACATGCCCCAGACATGCCGACCCTCTACATCTTAAGGTGTGTGCTAATTTTTTTTTCCCCTTCCCTACAGTGCTGTCTACCACACATCTATTGCTAGTAATCTCCCTTACCTCTTGTGTTGCTTCTTATTCCATTTAGATTGTCAGCTCTTTTTTTGGTTTCAACTCTGACACCTAATATCCTCTGGTATATTTTATTGCCTCCATACAGCTGGTGTCGTTTGAAGTGGAAAGAATTAAAGAGGAAGAACACTACAGCCCCCAGGAGACACTCAAACGCATTAAGGAGCTTGCCGAACAACTCTTTAAAAATGTGAGATTTGCCTCTTTATGTCGTTCTTTTGTGAACTGTTTTGGCTTTGCCGCAGTCATCTGTTACCTGATTGATTGATTCATGTGGTTAAAAAAAATAACATTGCAAAATACAGTAACCAAAAGCAGATAACTAGATAATAACTCAAAATATATCCCACTAGGGAGGTGGAAAATGGGGCAGGCCAATAACTGTACAAGGTTTCTATAGCTCTCAGCTGGCAGCCAGCAAAGCTAACCTGGGCCTTCCAGGTTCTGGTCACTTTAAGGAGGGATGTGAGCCCCTGCTTTCAGTTCAGCCCTCTTGCCACACAACTTTTGCAAGGAAAACGCTCCAACTGACAGGGTTATTCACAAAAGTGTGAAAAGTTTGGAAGAAGGCATGAGAAGTGAACAATTTAGGCAAAAAAAGCGGATTTGGAAATTGAAATTCTGCAATTCAGTTCATTTTCTGGTTCATCGATGTTGTCCTAGATTGTTCACTTCTCCTGCCTTCTCCAAACTCCTCACCCCTTGAATGACCCTGTGAGTCTTCTGCCTATTGCACACAGGCGGTGCAGACCCATTAATTCCTATGGATGAGACCTACTCATGGTCGATTTCAGCAGTGCAGTTGTGCGCAGTAGGAAGAGGACCTGGCTGGGACATTACAAAGGCAAATCGCAATGAAGATCACTGGAATGGGGAGGAAGGCAAATTTTTTATCCAAGTAGACTAAACTAAAAGCCAACTGCTTAAAGGTGCAGTTGTCCTTTAAGTTTTGCCATTCACCTGTCAAGTATCAGGGTCTCCAATGCCCACTGGATCTGACATTATAAAAGGCAAGAGATGGAGCTCAGTGCCAGAGGGGGCAGATCTTAATACTGATTTAGAGAGAAGCTGAAAGTCTTTCTGCAAGCTAGTTATGGAAACCAGGAAGATACTAAAGGAATGCACGGAGTGACTAACACAGGTTCTTGTAGGCTTACACTTCAGCACCATTGTCACCTTAGGGACATTTTGACCAATTCACACTGTAGCTGCAGCGCCTTCCAACGATAGGTGGCTAAGTTCTCACATGCTCTGGTAGGTCATTGCAGTGGCCCGGGCTCTGTAAGCAGTGTACAGCCCACAAATGCCTAGGCTTTTCTGGTGGTGTGGGAGTTCGCTATGGGTAGAATGGTGTCACAAAAGCACATTGCATCAAATGCTCTTCAGCATCCAGCACAGTGTAAATACAACCTGTTTGAATTAAGTAAAGAGAGGTAGGACTGTACTATTATAAAAGTTTAAGTGACAACAATCAGACTATTAGAAATGCCAATCTCTTATAGGTAATACACTTTACTCATCTAACGTGCCACCGTAATGTGGATGGGTGGCTGCAAATAACTTTATTATTCTTCTAGAGGCCCCCAGGAACCCAAAATCCCAGGAAGTTGTTGCTTTGGCCCTCCCCCTTCTGCCTCCTATGCCTCACTTTGGCCCACCTCATTCTGCCTCCCATGCTTACCTCCTCCTCCACACACACTTTTCACCTTCCCCCTTCTGCCTCCCCATGCATCCCCCCCACACCACCTTCTTCTGCATCCCATACCTCACTTTTCACAAACCTTCTTCTGCATCCCATGCCTCACTTTTCACAAACCTTCTTCTGCATCCCAGGTCTCACTTTTCACCCACCTTCTTCCTCATCCCAGGTCTCGCTTTTCACCCACCTTCTTCCTCATTCCAGGTCTCGCTTTTCACCCACCTTCTTCCTCATCCCAGGTCTCGCTTTTCACACACCTTCTTCCTCATCCCAGGTCTCGCTTTTCACCCACCTTCTTCCTCATCCCAGGTCTCGCTTTTCACCCACCTTCTTCCTCATCCCAGGTCTCGCTTTTCACAAACCTTCTTCTGCATCCCATGCCTTTCTTTTCACTCACCTTCTTCCTCATCCCAGGCCTCACTTTTCACCCACCTTCTTCCTCATCCCGGTCTCGCTTTTCACCCACCTTCTTCCTCATCCCGGTCTCGCTTTTCACCCACCTTCTTCCTCATCCCGGTCTCGCTTTTCACCCACCTTCTTCCTCATCCCGGTCTCGCTTTTCACCCACCTTCTTCCTCATCCCGGTCTCGCTTTTCACCCACCTTCTTCCTCATCCCGGTCTCGCTTTTCACCCACCTTCTTCCTCATCCCGGTCTCGCTTTTCACCCACCTTCTTCCTCATCCCGGTCTCGCTTTTCACCCACCTTCTTCCTCATCCCGGTCTCGCTTTTCACCCACCTTCTTCCTCATCCCGGTCTCGCTTTTCACCCACCTTCTTCCTCATCCCGGTCTCGCTTTTCACCCACCTTCTTCCTCATCCCGGTCTCGCTTTTCACCCACCTTCTTCCTCATCCCGGTCTCGCTTTTCACCCACCTTCTTCCTCATCCCGGTCTCGCTTTTCACCCACCTTCTTCCTCATCCCGGTCTCGCTTTTCACCCACCTTCTTCCTCATCCCGGTCTCGCTTTTCACCCACCTTCTTCCTCATCCCGGTCTCGCTTTTCACCCACCTTCTTCCTCATCCCGGTCTCGCTTTTCACCCACCTTCTTCCTCATCCCAGGCCTCACTTTTCACCCACCTTCTTCTGCCTCTTATGGTTCCCCCCCTTCTGCTTCCCATGCCTCACTTTTGGCCTACCTGTTTGATGGCATTATTTATGGTGAGGTGCAGAAGGGCATGGGTCAAGATGTTGCCTTCCTGGCAGAAGTCTCCATTTACATAATGGCGCTCGATGATCCCTGGACGCTCTAGTCTAGAAGTTCCAGCAATAAAGTCCAGACCCACTTTTCGTGCACCGTGGGAAAGACGCTGTGGAATAGTTAATGGTTTTATTATCCCCTGCTGGTTCCATTTAGCATTGCTGAGTACTTCTGGCCAGAGGGCCAATTATTCTACAATTTTAATCTTTCGGAAGTCAGTTTTTAATTCTCTTGTAGAGGAGAGGGAAGTTTTCAGGCTGAGGAAGTGTAGGAGACACGGTATGTTAATCCCGTCTCTCATCTCGGGGTCTGTCCATTAGTATTCCATTTGCACACACAGCTCATGCCAAAACCGGCGTGTTTATACACGAGGGATCTGGAGATGGAGGAGCCGTCACAGGAGAAGACTCGGCTTTTACCCACCAGTGTCAGAACTCTGCGGACAGACTCTACTCCATCACTTTGCGGGTCGTTAGCCTGGCCAAGACCAATTTATAAAGACTTTTGATCTCCTATTGTTGACCTATCAGACATTTCTGACTGGGAGTGGAAACTTCTCATGTAGTAAAGTTAAATTGAGTGACCTGCGCGGGGTTAATGGTAAAAGACAAACTTATAAAACTGTTCTTGTTATCAAACTTTGACAAATACCTGCGTGCAGATATCACACCTTTACTATGATTCATTGGGGTTGGTCTACTAAAGGAGCAGAAAGTTCACCGGGCCAGCTTCATATGGCCCATCATTCTACTCCTATGTTACATCCACCTCCTTGTCTCCATTCACTGCACCATAAGGAAGGACTCTGCAAAGTGTAAATCTGCAAGCAGGAGGACTGAAGGGCCCATTGTGTCTGTTTTAAAAAAGAACCGGTCCCTATTATGTGTAGGCAAGTCACTCTCATGTTAAACTTCAGGCAAACAGTGCAATACAAAGATGAAATGTGTATATAGGAGCTGACTTACCTGCCAAAAGATTTGCATGTCTGTCCATCCAGTTTTGAGATGCACAGCTCTGCCTTACAGCACAGCACATTCTGGCAGGGCAGGAGACCTGTTTTTTTTCACTCTGCTGCAGTCACTTTCACACTTTCACATACAGAGACCTCCCTGCCCCCAGCCATGACGGAAGAGTGGAAAGAGAAGCGGAACACTGATGAGCTCATCTCTCTGCTCTCTTCTCCCAATGGCATGCTCCTTGCACTAATGCAGACCTGATTGGCTCCCTGTGCTACTTCTTTCTCTCCCAATCTGAGCTCTGCTGTACAGGGGTGTGCAAGAGGCCAGTAGATGCCAGCTCAATTTCATCTGCTTACCCTACTTGCTTTAAAAAATACAATAAGGATGTATTAATGAATACAGAGCTGCATTAATGCGTGTCTTCTATGTCTTCTATGTCTGCCTAGAGTTCAGCTTTAAATAATTATTGCTTAGTGTTGTTCTTCAGCTTGAGAATGAGAGGTCACCTAAAGTTTGAGTGTTGCTGCTCTCTCTATAACCTCACACAGTCTACCGGCTCCTGAGAATGCATAACAGTGTCAAATATCAGATCTTCGGCTGAACAAATACTAAATTCTGTTATGTGACATCATTATCCGTGCTCATGAGGACACAATCGTTGGGGATAAGCAGTAGACAGGCAGTTGTCAGGCTTCAGATGACCTCTGACCCCTGACTCTTAAGCTGAAGGGTCGGATTCAGACAAAGGAAGTAAAGCTCAAAAGAAAGGCAAATATAAATCTTTCATGGGGGAAGCCTGGATGGGTAAGACTTCTGCTATGCCAATGCTTCACCATATGCCATAGCTCCTTAGTATTAGCTGATCTCACCTCTCACCTCTGAAGTCAAGCTGAGGTCTGATTCTTCCCACATGATGTGCAGCCTCATTGACCAATAGCAAGTGCACATTAGGAGGAGGGGCAAGCCAGAGCTTGTTTTTGATCATCAGTGACCAATAGCAAGTGCACATTAGGAGGAGGGGCGGGCCAGAGCTTGTTCTTAAGCCTCAGTGACCAATAGCAAGTGTACTTTAATAGGAGGGGTGGGACAGAGCTTGTTTTTAAGCCTCAGTGACCAATAGCAAGTGTACTTTAGGAGGAGGGGCAGGCCAGAGCTTGTTTTTAAGCCTCAGTGACCAATAGCAAGTGCATATTCGGAGGGGGGCAGAGCTTGTTTTTAAGCCTCTGAGACCAATAGCAAGTGCACATTGTGGGGAGGGGCAGGCCGGAGCTTAATTTCGTAGCTCATCTGGGCGCCCTGTGATTTCTACGTCACAAAGCACTCATGAAGACATGACCTCTGATTGACTGCTTATCACTGCTACTAGAAGCTTGGGAACTTTAGTTTAAGCACAGGTCCACTTTACAGGGACCCAGTCTTCTGCATAATAAACTAAAATGTGTACAGTAGCTCTTGGCCTCATTTGCATAGACAGAGCACATGGACATTACTACGCAGGAAAAGAAAATGAGGGTCAGTCCACGCTAGAGTACGCAGCACACTAGACATTGAATCTGACCTTGAGGTTAGTACACTGCAGACTGGTCATAATGTTTCCTTCTGTTGGACCATTGTAACCAATTTCCTTTCCAACATAGTTCAGAAAAATCGAATTGGTGGATGTTCAGCTTTCGGACTGCCAGTCTTCTCCAGCATGCAGACATGTTTAAATAATATATTTGTTTTCTCATTACTGTAGGAAAATCCCAATCCCCATATGGCCTTTCAGAAAGTCCCAAAACCAACGGAGGGCTCCCATTTGCGTGTTCACGTCCTCCCCTTCACCAAGATGAATGACCTCAAAGTTCAGGAACTGATCCAAGATGGAATCCATAAGAACCAGAATTCTACACAAGCCACTCGCATAGAGAAGAAGTGTATTGTCCCCGCCGGCTCCCCCGTTGGTAGGTCCTCTTTTATATCCTTCTCTCCTTTTACAGGCCAGGAAACACTGGTAGCTCTACCACGTCCAGAGTTTTGCTGGCTGTACACATAACTACACTGAGTGGCCAGATTATTATGACCACCTGACGTTTGTAGGCAAATTAGCTATAATTTGGCGCTGAAGTTGCTGGAGGGCCAGACCATTATAAATAGGGAAGCAGGTTGTTTACCACGACAGTAGAAGTGATTTGTTTCTGAAGATACGGGGAAACAACGCGATTTAACAGCCTTTGAACGCGTGATGATTGTTGGCGTTCGGAGCCATGGAGCGAGTATCAGCAAAACAGCAGAATTCGTTAAATGTTCAAGAGCAGATGTTGTTAAAGTGTTTAAAGACCGGACTGTCAGCCGAAAATCTGGGTCTGAACTTGCGAATTGTGGCCGTCAGCGACTAGTCAATGTTAGGGCAGAACGGGGGAGGGGCAAGACTGGTACAAGGCAACAGAAGGGTAACAGCGCCGTGTCAGATTCCTCGCATCACCTTTCAACATCTCGTGGAGTCACGAGGCGGCCCAACGAAGTACTGATGGGGGGGTCATAATAATCTGGCCACTCAGCGTATAAACAACTGGTCATCAGTTTAATCACTTCTAACAATGTTTATTTATCATCCATTGAGGGACACAGGAATTCTTAGAATGTCCGTTTATACTGCCACCTACAGGTATAGTCTGACAGTCTAGGAATTCCTGTCTCTCTCAGTGGACTCCAAAAAAAAAGGATTTTACGATGAGTAAAAAAAAAATCAATTTTTTTTAATAGTCTACTTAGGTTTACTGTCCTGGACGTTGAATAGACACCTGAGCAGAGGGATGCAAGGGTTGCATTGTTTTCATGGGTGCTAATCACGTGATTTTTGCAAAGGCAGACACCTCCACATTAGCACTCCTCCTAAAGGCAAGAATCATTTGTGAAGGTTCCTAATATCTCTGTTATGTAGGAAGCTGACCTAGGGAAGATTTTTTTTTAAGCCTCTAAACAGGATCCAAGTTCTACCGTGAGGATTACATCATTCCTTCTCCGCTCATGGCATAGTTTGGTCAGTGAGTAGTTAATGCCTGAAATTGGGTGGAGGGATTTTCATGACTCCATTTTTTTGAGGTCTGTGGTTTAGCCCTCTTGCTGCTTTTAACAGAGATCCTTAACAGTATTTTTGAACGGGATCCTCGGGAGCCATAAAGATTTTAACCAAACCCATCCGAGGCTTGGAAGTCAGTCAGCCTGTGTTAACGGTTTAATGCTTGCATGAGGACTGTGTCCATAATGTATGAGATGAGAGGATGTATCTTGCTGCACTCCTTACCGGATCCGTAAACGTCCTGTGTATACAGGTGGGTGCTCGTAGTGACCACGGATGGCGCCATGGAAAGTATACGAATATCAATGATGTCACCAGCACACCAATTTAAAGTGATCAGCAACAGTCCATTGTAATGAAAAATTGCCATTCAATTGCAAGTGCTTTTCGGGGGCCTCACAGGGTCCCCTTCAACAGGTTCAGAATGTCATTCTGAGCCTGATGAAGGGGACCCTGTGAGGCCCCAAAAGCGGTTGCAATTGAATTGCAGTTTTTTTTATTAAAATTGACTTTTGCTGATCACTTTAAATCGTTGTGCTGGTGGCATCATTGATATTCATAATGTACGAGAAACTGTTAAAGCCTATTCCCACCATAGTGCTCTATGGTAACCCATGCGCCACAATGCACACTTTTTCCTGCATTGAGGCATACGATTAATTTTAATTGGGCCTTGTGCAGCATAAAAAATGCTCCTGCAGTATTTTTTAGGCAGCTCAATGCATTGCAGTGCATTGTAGTACTGGTACATTGTGTATGCACATTGGGGTGCCATTTTAAATGTACGACAATACATACACATCACGCAGTGGCGTCACAAGGGGGGTTCGGCCCGCACCCGGGTGACACCATCGGAGGGGTGGCACCAAAATGACTCTGTCATTTTGGTGTCACCCCCCTCTGAAAAGTCGGGCGCTCGGTCATGAACCGAACGCCCGACAGTATCAGGAGAGAGGAGTGGACCCGGCGGCATACCTTATCCCGCCAGGTGACTGTCCCCTCCTCTCTCTGCCGGCGTCCATCACCAAGATGTCCGCCGGCAGGTATCAGAATACTGCTGCGCGTGCGCGATGACGGCATCGCGCACACGCGTGGTGACGTCACGCACATGTGCAGTGACGTCTCGGCGGGGTGACACTCGGTTACCGCTCCGGGTGTCACCCAGCCTCGGGACGCCCCTGACATCACGTGCCATCATAATTCTCCAAGCACGTTCTGGGTGGTCAAGACACAGGTGTGGCCATTGCAAATTTTGAGGGCAGCGCTGGCACTATTCGTGAGGAAGCATTAAGTGGTGCAGATTTTTCTTTTTCCAGCGTGTCTTAAGGTTTTCTCACCAGGGGAGACTTTTGTTGCACTGGAATTCTTGTTATTCAGTTTTCTATATTACAGAGAACAGGAGCTGACGGAAAATGTATCAATAGGGACAGCTGTTCCAGTGACAACTGTCTACTGTCCCCCCCACTTCCCTTGAGTCTCCAGGACAGGAAGGTTGTCTCATACCCATTTTGACATCTTGGGGAAAACGGGAGAACTTTGAAGGAGGAGACATGGCTGACGGCACTGCTGGTTTGCGATGTCCATATGCATGGCTCGGAATCATGTATGCATCACAAGGCTTACCTGCAGTGTGGAAGACAAGGGCTGCCGTGTCACACGTGAAGCATTGTGTGAGCTCTGTGTACTAAATCTCCTGGTGGGAAGACCCGCTTCCATCGATGAGGACCCAGTGGTGTGAAGATGTTCTCTGCTTGTTGTGCGTTTTTTCTTTTTTCCTATACACATGTTTTTTTTTGAAGGGAGGTGGGGCAGTTATTAGCAAGCAGTACACCCATACGTCCTTGCCATTGCACAATCCTATGTGAGTGATGAGCTGCAGCTCTTCTGTGCTGCTTGTTTTAATTCCGCTCATAGTTTGGTTTGATTGAAGACCAAATCAGAACCATTTGTGAGTGTGCAGTTTGCAGCACAACGTGGTATTTGTTCTGGACGTCCAGCCACGCTGACAGCCCTGCGATTTGCTTCCCAGCAGCCGGAGGCATTTGTATTAATGGAAGCATGTGTACCGGTTCTATTAATACACGGCAGATAGAAGTGCGCGGGCGATGCGATGACAGCACGCCCATCTCCGACAGGAGTCTTCTGGAGCTCTCACTTCACATTTCAAACATCCTTCCAGACAGACCGATATAGAACCATTTAAAGGGAAACGGATGTGTGCTGATAGTTATCATTTTTGGGTTTTGTTTCCCTTTTTTAGCAATGTTTCCCTCTTCAGCCATATACAGCCAGGGCCTTGGTACCGTGGGTGTGACATCATTAAAAGTAGATCCAGATTCCAAAAATGTTTAATTTGAGGTGGAATCCAGGCAAGCAGCTAAGTTCAAAGGTTGAAAGGTACCTGTGGAAAATGTCTTGCTGGGGGAAAAAAAAAGATTTTTAAAATTCGGTGCAGCCAGACTTGTGATCCAATCCAAGATATCACCAGCACACCAGGTTCAGATGAGAAGACAGGACACTTTATGGTCACCAAGAGGAAGTGACATTTGGAGGCCATTGTGGACCTCTTCCTGAGGCAGCTAGACCGGTCCCTACAGCCTTCCCCCCCCCCCTCCCCCCGGGCAGTGTAAGGACCCATGACATTGTCTGAAACACTATGGGCAGCACAGTGGTGTTGTGGTTAGCAATTCTCCCTTGCAGCCCCTGGTTCAAACCCCAGCCAGGACATTATCTGCATGGAGTTTGCATGTTCTCCCTGATCTTGTGTGGGTTTCCTCCGGGTACTCTGGTTTCCTTCCACACCCCAAAGACATACTGGAAGTTAATTGGCTGCTCTCAAAAAAATTTGTCCCTGTTTACATGTGAGATGGGGACCTTAGACTGTAAGCTCCTTGAGGGTAGGGACCGATGTGAATGTGCTCTATGTACAGCGCTGCGTAAATTGTCGGCGCTCTATAAAAACCTGAAATAAATAAATAATACGGGTCTGTTACACATGAAGACACCGAGAGACACACCACAGCTGGAGTGGAGGGGGAGAGAGTGGTCATTGCTGCAGGGCGGAGGATTGGGGTGAGTATATCATCTTTACTTTCCGCTCCTAGACCTAAACAAGCCGTTAACCCTTGCAGTGCAGGCGTAGCCCCAATGCAAGGGTTCATTTTTTTCTTTAACATGGCTGTCCTAGTGTTATCAGATGGGATTACAGGACAGGAAATCAGTTGTGTGTTGGAAGCCCTCCCTTCCGCACTATAACATATTAATTTACAGCTTGATTACGTTTGATCACCTTTTAACAATTGTAGGCGATCCTTAAAAACTCATCTCTTCAGGGATTTCATCTCAACATAACTTAAATTATTACCTTTTGTAACACTTGCCCCTCCTGATAGATTGTAAGCTCTCATGAGCAGGGCCCACCTAACCCTATTGTAATGAAATTGTATTGTATTGTAAATTGTATTGTTACTGTACTGTCTCCTCCATTTTGTAAAGCGCGGCGCAAACTGTTGGCCCTATATTAATCCTGTATAATAATAATAGTAGTCAGGTATGTCATTAAAAAGAAGGATAATGATGTGTCTGTTTCTCTCCGCTCTGCGACAGTCTCTTTAGTGGACAAGGTCAGCTCCGTATTTAACAGCGCCCGAAGACTGGAAGTTGTGCGAAACTGCATCTCCTACATCTTTGAGAACAAAATGCTGGAAACTGAAAAGGTGCGTTTTATAGTCACCATTGTTTTGTTTTATCCTTCAGTCTGGAGAGAGTAATATAGGAGATCTCTCATGAATTAAATATCAAATGATCAGATCCATGGACATGAAGCAGCTTTATTTGTTTTGTTTTATCTATATAGCATCAATTCAGAAAACCTCAAGGGCCCATTCACACCAATTGCAGTGCATTCCAGAGCGGCAGCTGCTGGAACATACAGCAATTGCTCACTAATCTTCCCCCTTCGTTCTGCATTGAAGTCAATGGCACCGCAGCCACACACACACACCCCGCCCGCAGTGCGATCGGACTCGTTGCAAAACATTGCCTGCGTTCCGGTTCACTGTGAGCGCAAAAAATAGAGCATGCAGCAATGTTCGCAGTGGGCCGGAACACAGGCAGTGTTTTGCCACGCATCCAAGCGCACTGCAGGTG